CCGAGGAATACAGGAGGTGAACACGTGCAAGTCCTTGGTCACCTGACCCCCCCAGACAGGAGGGATTCCTTCGTGAAGAGTGCGGTGTGAGGCTCGTGGAGGATACAGATGATGAAAATGCAATCCCTGACCGTACAGAATAGACATTCTTGAAGAGAAGAGATATTTACATGAGTAACTATTTAAAACTGTCAGAGGCAACAGAACAAAGACAAGCCCTGAACGTCATGGGTCTGGAAGGCAAAGTGAGCGAGGGGAAGTGGGAGCACGGGGCCGCTGGGGAGGTGGGGTCCACAGTGCAGCGTCTGCTTCGTTAAATCCTGTGATTTGTCTCCTGTAGGCTCTCTGTCAGTGTTCAAGGCTGGCCTGGCCCACATGGCAAGCCTGTCCCAAAAACTAACAAAGCCAACCAGCCAAGCACAAAGGCAATCTGTATTGACCCCTTCACAGTGCCCACTGGCGGCCGAGCAGAAATCACAGGATTTTTGGCACAGGATTTTCGGCGTCCTGAGAGTCAGCACACAGCTCTCCGCCGTCCAGGATGGTTACGGCAATCGCTCCGTTCCCGGCCACTCCCCCCTTATCAAGAAGGCCGGACTCAGAGTCCAGCTCCGCCACTTGTTGGCTGTGGCACTCGAACAACTGTACCCTTCTTCCTGGAGGGGGGCGGGGGTGCCCCTGCCCTGCTCCCTGTGACACTGTGAGCACCGTGACGCTGTCACCCCAGCCACAGCTGAACCGAGCTCTCAGTAGGAGTCGGCCCTCCCTGGCCCACACACTGGAAAAGCCTTCCTCTAAAGCCTCCACACAGCCTGTCTGTCTCTCCCAGCTCCGGCTCTGCAGGACACTGCCCCGCTGGGAGGGGCCCCCAGCTCCAGCTGCCGTGCGTGGGAAGCCACGTCACGGGGTCACACATCCTCTGGGATGTCGGGGTCAAACTGACCAGATTTGGGAAACCTAGGGACTTTTCATGGATGAGCTCTAGGTAAAGCACTGTGAACAAGTTTGCAAAACAGTGCCTGGGCCTGGCTTCGTGCGGAAGTGACACAGAATTAACACGGGAAAAGTCACATAGCCGGATTTCATGACATTTAATCACAGGCTTTTACTCCACGGAGGTCAAAGAATTGAATCTACTTCTCCCTCATTTGATATCACGTGGTGCAGATGGATGCACGGAAACAGAAAGTGACCAGTCCCAGCCCTCCAGAGCCGCCCCAGGCCTCTCTGCAATGTCACCAAGCAGCAAGTGTCCCAGCCTGTCGGGGGCCTAAATCTTGCGATGGACCCTCAGCCGCGCCAGCGGGGGACCCTTGCTGCTCCTGTCCTCGAGGCGTGCGGGAAGTGACTGAAGCCGCCTCTGAACCTCTGTGACTGTGGGAGCAGGAGCCTGGAGAACCTAATGTTCTCACAAGTCCACCTGCCCTGCCCTCCACCCGTCTTTCTGTGTAAACTAGATTGTAGGGAATGCGCGGGCTGAGTTCGGGTCCGGGCTGGGATGCCCACTGCCAGTGTTGGGCTGGGTGCTGGGCTTCCTGAAGTGGGTGTCTGGAGGATGCACCCAGAGGGTGAGCTGAGGGTGCCCAGAGCCACCCGGGAATTCAGCAGCTCGCATCCAAGGTGTGTGCTTCTAACGAGCGACCCTATGGTTCAGATGCACGTCTGCCCTCCGACTCCCAGAAACACCGGGCGGGGCCTCAGCTCCCTCCAAGGCAGGGAAGGGACAGACGGTGACTGCAGGGGTCCTGACCCTGGGACCTCTTCCCCCTTCTGTCCCCAGCCCCAGAGCGTCTGATGCAGCAGATGTCTGTGGGCCTCGGCTCCCCTTACATGTTCGCGTTTCCTCGCTCTTCCCGAGGCTTAGATTCAGGGGGACTAGCGTGGGGCCTAGACACAACCTCGGGCAGTTCCCGGATGCTGAGGTGCTAGCGGGGGGACCTGTAATGGAAGCGGCTGACACTAGCTGCCCAGTGACCCCCTGGCCTCCCCACACCCGAAGTCCCAGATGCAGGCTGCCCCAGGAGACCCCACCTCCTTCCAACTGCACCGGTGAGCAGCACCCCGTTCCCTTGTGTGTTTGTTCGAGGGTGTGGCGTCTCTGTGAGTGTTCCATGGCTTGCGCCCCTGACTTGCCAGGGCTTGGAAGCCCCACGGTGAGCCCACTGCCAGCTTCTGGAGGGGCATTCCAACGTTCTGCTTACCTGAGATGCTCGTAGACCACAGGGCCCTTGTGTTTCTGACCTAGAACTTACAGCAAAAACTGATTTAGAAAAAGATGGTGAACATATGATGTCCAAATCAAGTGTGTAATATAATTAAACGTGTTATTTATTTGCCATTAAAATGATTACAGCTCAAACAGTGCCTAACTGTGACCACAGATGCTGAGTTTTTATGGCTCATTCTCTGAGAACAGAGTCGGCTACAGAAGTAGCCACTCCCTCCGCTTGATGATTATTTCACTGAGCAATATAGTGAGGGCGAACAGATTGGAAAACACTCCGAGCAGAGGTCCAGGAAAGTTGTGTTTTAACTTGGGCTAGTGCAATCAGCTCCAAGTAGATGGCTTGCATAGAAATTTAAAAAGCAGGTTGATTAAAAATACCCAATATGATCTGAACTCATCAAGAAAAGACCTAGTTTGCTGCCATTTAAAAATATATTCTGGAAATTGATTCACAAAGCTACACTAAAAAAAAAAGATCCCCAGTCCTCCTGTTTAAAGTTGAGAAAAGAAGAAAAACACACAGATGAAATATAACAGGGCTGCCTGGGGCACAGGATCGCACGGTGACCAGACCTCCAACCCAGCCGGGGCTCAGCACAGGAGTCCCACGTCCGGGTCACAGGGCAGAGGGCTCTGCGGGTGGGACAGTCCTGGCATAGATGCCGCCTCTGCTACTCGCCACCTCATGGGGACCGCAAGCCCCCCACCTCTCTGCGCCTCGCTTGTCTCACCTATAAGGTGAGGTCGCTGCTTGCAAAGGTTACCCTGGACGTTTACCTCTGAGACAGAGGTAGAGAGCTGTACCTATGCCTCGTACATGGCACGCACACACAACGCATGGTATCCATGGCAACCCTGGCGACTGCCATTCTCCCATGATCATTTGACAGCCACAGGAGACAGTGCCACGGAAGTCTACTAACTGTCCAGGAAACTGAGCCCATCTGTCAAGAGGACCTCGGGCGCGGGGCTGGCCTCAGGGGCGGGGCTGGCCAGGCCTTCCTGATGTTGGCACGCATGAAACGGTGCTTTAGAAACTGAGGGAGAAAGAGAAGTGGGGTGGAGATCTGCCCCGGGGCAAAAGATTTGGTGTCCCATAGGCTTCCTGCTCGCTGGTCAGGGCAGGGCAGGGCGCAGAGTTCGTGATTTTTCTTTTGGGTTCATCAGCATCTTCCCTGAAACAGCTATCCACGCATGGCTTTAAGCAAAAGTAGTAACAAGTGAAAAGCCACCTGCAAGAGGAGGGCTGGGGCTTGCGGGGAGACACAGTGCTCAGTAACGGTCGTCTTCCCAGCCTCTGCTGAAGCCCCGCGAGGGCCAGAACCCCCTCGTGCACGTGACTGCAGAAATGAAGCCACATTTCCACGCACAGGAAAGTGGCCTGGTGTCCGGAAGAAGCCAGAGGAGGCTGTGCCTCCTCTCACAACCTCCGCGCCCAGGGGCTCACGTGCCAGTCGCTGGCACTCAGGACGCACTTAATACGAACAGCAGCACGCATGTCCTGCACACTGCGTCTGCCACGGCCCCTCGCGCACGGCGTACCTGCAGACTGTGCTTCAAAGGACTGAAATGACCATTACGCTTAAAACCCAAGCAACCATTTCTTCTCCATCTCCTCCTCCTCCTTCCTCTTCCTCTCTCTCTCCTTTCCTTTCCCTCTCCTCCATGCCCCCCTCCCTTACCCCACATTCTCACCACATCAGTCAGTCTGGCCTCGGACTCCTGGGCTCAAGAGATTATCCTGCTTCAGCTTCCCATCACACGTATTGAATCAAGCAACTATTTCTATATTCTCCCCCTCCACCGCATGTGCGTGGGTCAGTGAAGGTCTGCCTCTCTCCTCTACAGCTATTTGGTAGCTGCTGCACCGGGTTTTCCAGGCTCCCTTCCCACAGCTACCCTAGCCTCTCTCTGCTG